TGCCTGTAACAAGGTCACGCAAATTTTAATGCAAATAAAATTTGTTAAACGGTACTCTTTAGGAATAAATATTCCTAAGTTACATTAACGATTTCGAGCAATATGCCAGGTTTCGAGCGTGAAGGATTAATTTTCGAATGCTTGCAGCTGACAGAATACCTATCGTTCGGCAAATCGATCGATCAGTTTCTAATCGAATCCGCGCGACGAGCCTGGTACCGAGACGTCTCGTCTCGTCCGGATCAATCGGATTTCGTGTCTCGTCTTATTCCCGAATGACGTTAATCTTGACAACCATAGAAATTTCTATTTACGTGTCTCCTGCGACATGTCCTCTTTCTCTTTTCCGCGCGTGACTTCGGTTCTCGTGTTTCCGAGACATGTGTATTTTCGTTCGGCTATTTTTCCTTAAGAACGTGACGCTGTTGTCAAAAAAATCGTCAGGGTCGGTTCGAGCGGGTAATCGAAATTAAATCGCACTTAAACACCCTCTTCTAGTGATAACATCGAATTTCATCTTTGTTCAAATGCAAATGTTTACGGTTCAGACACGTGTCTTGTATGAGTCTCTATTTTAGGAGAGAATAGAGGATACAGTGAACTATAATTTTTTTGAAAAAATGCGCTCTGCAGGCAATCGTCTTCCTTTCGATTCGTCAAGTGCACAGAATTTTCCTTCTAGAGTGTCGCGAGTGAAATTGGTTTTGCCGGGAAGATGGGACATAAATGAAACCATAACTTGGAAGGAAATTGAAAAATCGGGATATTAGACTACGGGATGAATTTTTGAAATAGATCAAGGGTCATGAAATTTACGATTTGACAATCTCGAAATATGGAAGGGAATTTGAAAATTTAAAAATTTACAACATTTTAGAATAAGATAATCTACGCCCTACGTTCACCCCATATGAATGACCGTCATATATTGAGCCCAACCGTTGTTCCTATTTAATTACGCTGGCCATAGCGAACAATGACAGGGTCCCAAAATTGTGCAGACCCAAATAAATTTCAAATTAGCACCCATACAATGTATAGAGGTCCGAAAAGTTTACGACAATGTTTTCGCATGACTCAAGAATAAACCCTAGGCTCCGACAATATTAATTCCCGACCCGAAGAATTATTTTATTTCCCCTGTTTAGTATCTAAACCTTTTTCTCCGAAAGTCCAATTGCTCCCAAACGATTTTTACCTGGGGTTCGAAATCGAAATTTACAGCCAAGGATTAATCGGCAGCCAGTCATTAGAGTAGGTATACCCGAGGTAAAACACAGTGGAAAAGCGCTTTCATTCGAAACGCAACCACGATTTCCCCTTAGTAGACGGTCAGTCGGGGGGTCCTGGTATTCCCCGGCGATTTTTCACCGCACTCGTCTCGTCCTCACTTCGTGATTCTTTTCTCGGTGAACGGTCCAGGGCCGCTCGAGAGGTAAACCTTCGAGCAAAACGACTTTCAGAGCCCGCAGTAATGTACTTTCACATTTGCAAGACCGAGGCATTGAATCGTTGGAAACTCGTTTCGTATTGCACGAAAGGAACGGCCGGCCAACACGAACGGGAGGGTACAGAGACAGATCACCTTCGGCAGAAATGATTCTTTTTTTATTTTCGGAACGGTGATGTTTCTCACAACTGGGTTCATTTGAAAAGTCTGGCGGTTTTTCCGGAAAAAATTGGATTTATTGCTGTTTAATTCGATTTGGAGAGGTGGAAGTTTGGGACTTTGGGAATTTGTGGATTCTGGGGTTCAGAGGCTGAGGATCAGGGATTTAAAGGTCTGGAAATTTATAGAATTGTGGACTCAAGGGTTTGTGCATTCGAAACTGTAGAAATTTAGGGACTTGGGATGTTATCATTTATCTAAAGGATTTGATAATCAGAAGGTTTTGGAATATAAAGGTTTGAAAGTTCAAGAATTTCGACTTTAAAGAATTTGACACCCTATCATTTCAGCAACCCATCTTACAAAGCTTGAAACCTCAAAAGTTTGAAAGTCCAGGTTTGCACCCTGGATCCTTCAAAATGAATAAGACTCCAAATGGTATAACTACCATTTACTACAACCTCCCCTGATCCTCACCCAGTAAGGAAGTCAACGTTGCACCGGAGTATACAGATCGCGGTGAACAGCGAAACTCAAGTGGGTCAGATTTCAAAAAAATTGTTTGGTGCCTCGTACGTTCCTGACCAAAGTTTAGAGACGACCGATGAATACGGAGCCGTGGGTACTCTGATATTTAGAGAGCGATCTGTATTCACGTTCTCGCGCAACGCGGCAAGTGCAGTGACCCAGTGACACGTGGAAAATCTTGTCGGTGCATGCATCGTGGAGGAGGCGAATCAGCGACACGCTAGGTGACTTTGCGGGCTAATATCGATGATGACAGAAGCGCGACATCGTTTTTGGCAGAGAAAAAAGTGCATCTGTCGGGGCCACGAGGCGCCGGTGCACATAAATAACCGATGATTTTCATTGTCTTCTACGTGGTCATCAGAATGTGCTTTGATATCAATTGAACTCTTTGCCAAGATTTACAGGTGCAAAAATCTTCGTCAAAGTATCAAACTCTTTTCTGAAAAGTGACTATTGGTACCACGAAGTTCATCTGACACTCTAGGAATGAATTTAAAGTTAGAAGAAATATGATCTACTTTTAAAATTTAATTAAATTCTAAGAACATTCATGCTATACAAAAATGATTATTTTTAATGTAACCATTGACAATTAGGAAAGAAGTGTCCGCCATCAGAGACCTTAAGATTAAGGGGCTTATATTCTAGCGATATAACATAAAAATGGTGAAAACAATGAACACCGTCTCCATTTCGAGTTGATTTTTTCGTCACAGCGAACTTTCTAATCCGCGGCCAGAGTTTCGCAGGATTTTCTCGGCGATCGAATTACCACGCTCCGTGTCGCGTGTCGCTTTGGGAAAAGTAGAAGCCAAAAAGCGTCGTCTAGACGACCGTTTCCTTTTGGATGAACGACTATGCGTATAATACCGAGACGCTGTAATTTTCTCGGAAACAGCGTGGTCGACGGTCTGTCGGTCCGAGAAAGGAGAATAACGGGCCGAATGCCGTTCATTGCGTTTCCAGGTCAGACGGGAGCGCGTGAATTTTCGTACGAAAAACGGCCGCCCGCAGGCTCCAGGACCCCTCTTTCTCTTTGTCCATTTTCGAAGGTACTTCCCGTGGAACCGTTGAGGGATTTTAAGTAGGGTGCACAACAAAGTGATGGAGTGGGGTGGGTCGAGGCGCAGCAGGGACGACACAGGGTGGGGAGAAAAGGGGCGTATAATCGTAGCCGCGGTATAGCGAGGCCATAATTCAAGGGGGTTTCTCCGTTTGAACGCCCATTTGCAAACGCGATTTTATGAGTTTATTTACAAAGTTATAGCCGATGACTATACCTCTTTGAAAACAATTGTTTTTATTGCGCGTAGCAGCTTTCTCCGTATCGAGCAAAAAAGCAGAACTTATGGTCATCTTGATAAGCATGAACGTGGTTATACCCTCAAAAAGACTTTGATGTTTATTATGTCGGATACGGTTTCATTTTATTTCACCTTACTTTGAGTTTTCCGTATGGACTCAAATTTGGAAATTGTACAAACCCTTTCAAGACTACAAATTTGAAAATTATGAATCTGGTGATCTGTCAAGTGTTCAACTTTGAAAGCAAAATCTACATGTGTCGATCTCGTAAAATTCAAGGCAAGTCTCACCCTGATTGGAAGCCTACATAACGAGGGTACCGTAAAGCATTGTCGCGCGGGAATTTTCTGATTCGAATTATAAAATTGAGACTTGCTCAAGAACCGCTATCCTCTAATGGCCAATGACGTCACGCGCCACCAGGTACGTGATTAGAACGGGTGGCCTCTAATGGGATCGTGACGTTCGATGCTCTGTACACGGTGGACTACTCACATACATGTTCACTACATATCTTTAAAAATTGTATCACAAAATTTTTCTCTGTTCGATCTCTTTTTCCATCAATGATTAGCGACTACGTCGATTGTTTGATTACGGTAGAAAAAGAACGGCTCTGTCTTTAAATGGCGATTGAGTCGGAAAGATCCGGTTTCACTTGGCTCGCGTGCAAACGGATTATCTTCTAATCTATGAGTCGAAATTTTTCGCACGTTATCGCCTACTTTCCCAGCCGCGCGAGCGGTCGGGCAAATTGTCGGGGGATCCCCATAGGTTCTAACCAGGTCCAGAGATACTGCGACATATAATTATCGGCATTCAGCGATATATCGACAACGTAATTAAGGTATCGTTACGGCTAATGGAAGTGGCTGAGGCAATGATTTTATCATTCGAATTCTGTATAAACTTTGGATAATAATCGAGAACATTATTATTAATAGCAGGTCTGGTTTTGCTGCTAACGAGTTAGTTTTGAGGGCGCCTGCACCGCGTAGGGGGCGAGGGCTCTATTTTTGCGATTTACAAAAAGACAGCCACCGCGGTTATTAATACTGCGTCACTCCAACGAAGTAGCCATAAAGATATCGCCCTCCACGATGCACGGTTGGATCCTTGTGCGGTGTCCTTCCGATCGAACGTGCGTTAAATCCTTCCTATGGTACATATCAAGTACGTTGCAGCAACGTTCGTTGCTGCGAAACTTCAGAGTTCAGTTCCGATAAAGCCGATATTCGCGTTATTTCGTCCAGGCATTGTCGTGAAAAATGATCGTGCGTGCCTCGTACAAAAAACAGACACTCGACCTTTCATCGTTGGTTATGACTCGATTAGATTAACAATTAATCGCTAGGCGCGTTTCTCTTTGTTGGCGTCGATCGTGGCACGGCCATGCCACGTCAAAGTGGTCGGATCGTTTGAAATTTTATTCGTTTCCGTGGTCTCGCTACGACGGTCACAAATCGCCGCTTCGACCACCCGTACACACCGTTGCCTCGTGTTTTTTCGTCGAAAATCGGCCTACCGTGGCGCACGGTCGTACGAGAAATCGATGGTGAAAACGAATGCACGAAATACGTTGTTTTATTTCGATGTACCTTACGTTACAATATTAACGAACATTCGAACCCACTCGGAACGTTTCCGCGCATGCGCCGCGAATTTAAGAATGTCCACGAACGAAAACAAAATTTCGCAAAACGTTTGCGATGCCGAACCAGCATTAGCGAATCGCGTCATTTACCGACGTCAGCGCAATTCTAGTTCGAAACGATCGTATGGAAAGTTTAACGTGCACGATCGAACAAAAGACGTACCTACGCGAAGACAATAGATTTCTCTAGGCAAAGTTACGAATTAGGCGTTCGAAGAATTGGGAAGCTTTCGAATTTGAAAGTTTAAATTTTTGCAAACTGTGAGATTCGCGTAATCGTGTCAAATAGAAAGCGAGACGATGGCCTGTTATCCTTGCTCTTATCCAAAAGTAAGTACTTGTACGCGTGTACACGATAAAATGTATTTTTCGCGCGGCGATTCGTCCATATGTCTCGCAGATACATAGGATAAAGAGGCCACGATGGTTTCTTAAGCGACGGCGGCTGAGCGCATACGTCAGAGTCCGGCACATGAGTCATTCTCGAGGAAACGGGGACGGGGCGCCTGGTGCGCCCACGATATCGTCGCCCCTGCGCGGAAAGTGAGCGTAGAGCGACGAGCCTTTCCGAAGATGGCCGAAGCAACCCCGTCGTGCGACAGTCGAGCCCGAGCGATCCCCCGATCGCGGTCGTGCGTGCTGGAACGGCAGGTACGGCCAGTCAGTAGTGGATTAGCGGCAACGGGAGCAGCAGCAGGAGCGACGGTGGCGCAACGTTAACGACGAAACGAAACGAGAGAGGAGGTATGACCGTTCGAGTCGTCGGCAGACATCGTCGAGCGTGTAAATAACGTCGCGTCCGTCGCGAGAAGAAGGTGCGCGTGAACGCTGGCTGCTCCACGGAATATGTACGTGATAAAGGTGGGCGAGGGCCGTGCGAAAAAGTGGCAAAAACTGTGAGAGAGGTGCAGTGCCTCCACGTCGGTGGCAGTGGCGGTGTTGGTAGTAGTGGTGCTGGTGGTGTGGTGGTCGTGGCGGTGGTGGTGGTGGTGGCGGTGTGGCGTTGCTGGTGCTACTTCGGTGTGTATGCGCGCGTGTGTTGGTGGGACACGCACTTCGGCGGGGCCGTGGTTCTCGCTCTCTCTCTCTCCTGCTGTCCCGTCTCGTTCCCTCTTTCTCTCTCTCTCTTATCCCTCTGTTCACCGCGACTGCCCTCTTCGTCGCTCCTACGGAGGCCATCGTACCGAAAGCGACCGAGCCAGGCCAGGCACTACGCAAGATGGCTGTGTGTCGCTAACGAGAGACCGACAAACCAGACGGGCAAAAGACAACCCGGGAATAAACGGAACATGCTGCTACGTGATCGTCGGGCCCGTCCCTGAAGAGAGAGACACTGGCCAAGAAACGAGAGGTACGTTTCTCTTTTTTACAGTTTTCATTTCACACCGTCATCCCGTTTTGTTTCGTTTCGCTCTTTCTAACCAATTCCTTCCCCTTTGCTCACAGTGAACAAACGACGCCTTCTTGAATTTTTTCCCAGGACTTTTGCGGTTGACAGGTTGCCGGAGATGCGACTACGCTCGCGTGTCATACGCTGTCCTGTCTCCTTTCGACGATCCTAGACTCCACCGCCTCACGTACTCCTCGCAAGTCAGGCGGGGTAATTGTAAATGCCGTTGGGAATTTGTTTAAGTTGGTAATTCTTGATTATGTGTTTGTTGTAATAAAAAGAGGGAAATATAAAGTGTCCGTTGTAAACTGCCAATTTAAATCATTAGCATCTGTTATACACCTTATCTCATTTTGCTCTCGTACATCGCTGTATTACCTTCTATGTTACAAAACAACTGTCGTGCTGTATACTTAATTAAATGCATATTTACTCCATTTAGTTTCCATTTTCTTCCGAGAATTAATGGGTTAAATAATTCTCACAAAAATGTACCAACAGGCATTTACAATTACCTGAACTATCATATGTTTCTTACTAAACAACGAGTTATAATTTTTGTTACACAAATTCTTCGATCGTGCAACCGTGCGTTTGCCCGAAACAATCGCTCGTCTTTACGTCGTTGTAATTTATCCACATTGGTGCTCTGACAGTTCAAGTTTTCTCCTCCAACGACATTTTTTAGCGTCGATTTAACGAACACGCATAAAGTTACGAAATTCAACCCGGAATCAAGAACATCTGTTGCGAAAAAGAGTCGAAACGGTGAACATAACCTCCAAAGCTAGATACGCGTTAGCTGCGACGAACCACGACGGGTGTGTGCGTGCGCGTTCGAACTCGATAAACAACTTTGTTCGTTTACGAAATTCTGTAACCGTAATCGTCGTTTCGGGCCTGATTTTCCCAGTTACGTCGACACGTTGCATTCTCAAAGTTCGTTGTAACGCGAGCGAACTTCTGCCGACGGAGTGGAAAAGTTTCTGCGTTCCAAAACCCGACGCCGGAGACGAAACATCTGTCGGCCAAGTAACGGCGTCAACGTACGCTGGTAGCCGCATCGTTGAAACGTCTTCGTGTACCGATTTTTACTCGTCACGACGTTTTACGTCGATCGTCGCACATATTGATGATTTCTGCTGAGACTATTCGTCGATTCTGTTGGTCTCGTGTGACGTTCAAGTAGCGTGGAAACTTTCCACCCAGCGTGTTATACGTTCTGATCATCTACAAACACGCGCTCGTTTGCATTTTTCATCACAGGAATGATATTTTTCGCTTCCGTTTCATCGAAGGGATCGTATTCCGCATTTCATAATAAGCGTCATGACTGCGAAACTGTCAAGGGAAAGAGCAGCTGCTGTTTTTAATTAAACTTTTAAAATTTAGAGTAGAAATAAGCAGATCCATATTAATACACATTGTCAATCATTAACACGTCATTTTTAATGTTTAAAAAAAATACAAAAAGTGTAATATATTATTTACAAAAATGTTGATGTAAATTTATTACTAACACCTTCTCTTCTGAAGCTATTGCACAACCGAATCAAAGATTCTACTTAAGAGTTTTTTCCTTAATCAGAATTGTAAAATCAAACGATCATGAGAAATAAAGAAACAGTTCTCGAATAGTCGGGAAAAACCATCGTCGATTGAACGCAACGGGGAAAAGCGATTTTAAGGTGGGAAAAAAATAATCGTCGAATCGAATCTTTTTCTCGTGGAACTCTGATTCAAAATCCAATTAGTTTCATCCGTTCCCTGGCCCCTCCACAGCCTCGATTCATCTGCAGATCGATCGGTGCTCTATATTTTCCCCGTTTGATTATCGTTTTCTAATTATCGGCCAGCGTCTGTCGGTTGGCGAAACGTGGAATGATCGGAAGCGACGGCCGCGATCGGGAAACATTTTTATGCCGTTTCGTGTACGTTGCTTTAAATGTGGCCTTTCGAACAGTCATTTCGTCCAAGGAGCCTTCGGTTTGTGACTCGACACGTGCGGTCTTTTTCAGAAGGACACGTCGCGTATATGTATATCCGATGCCGCATTTTTGAACGCCTTCCTTTTTTATCGCGCATGCGCGGTTCGCCCACCAACGCGCGCTCTTCCTTCTTTCTTTTTTTATCTAATAATGAATTTCCTTTGACGTCGAAAAGTATTTAACGTTTCATTACTATAAATGATCGATTGCCTCAATTTATATTCACAATCAGTTTAAACGTTATAATGCAAGATCATATAATCTGTAAAATAAAAGCAGCGTAATTCTTTGATACATTAAACAATTTTCCGCGGGTATTAAAAATTAAAATATCAAGGGTATATTGCAGTAAGAATAAAGAATTTCTCTTCTTGTTCTGTGTTAGGTCTCTGGTGACGCACTCGGTGCGTTCTATAAATTTTAACCAGTGACGCAGCACATGCGTCCCACGCTAAGCAATTCATGACGCACCTTGTATGTCTCATAAAGAATTCAACGTTGACCTGAATTATAAATAAAAATGAACTGTATATTATATGAACTAATAAACAAAATACTTATTCTTAGAAATCGATTTATAAGACAACCTTCATTGACGTGACAGAATAATCTCTACCGACGGTCTCCACGAAAATATTTTTGTTTTCCGGTGAAAGCTTGTCCTGGCTTTTCCTTTTACCGTTCGAATATTCACCGTTCACTTAATGAATCGTGCTTGTCCTTGTGTGATTATTTCAACTTCTTCTAATAGTATGTTTTTATGATACACTGGTCATAAGTAACTAATTATTACAACGAAGTTACACATTAGTATATTAAACGTATATGAGTATATTAAAGGAGTATATTAAACGTGCGTTACGTTGTTTGGTCGATATAAATGCTGTGGAATGTTACTATGTGACGCGTAGTAACTCCACGCGTAGTAATTCCACGCGTGGTATCTTCACGCGTAATAATTCCACGCGTGGTACCATCACGCGTAGTAATTCCACGCGTGGTATCTTCACGCATAGTAACTCCACGCGTAGTAATTCCACGCGTGGTACCTTCACGCATAGTAACTCCACGCTTAGTAATTCCACGCGTAGTAATTCCACGCGTGGTACCTTCACGCGTAGTAATTCCACGCGTGGTACCTTCACGCGTAGTAGCTCCACGCGTGGTACCTTCACGCGTAGTAATTCCATGCGTAGTAATTCCATGCGTAGTAATTCCACGCGTGGTACCTTCACGCGTAGTAACTCCACGCATAGTACCTTCACGCGTAGTAATTCCACGCGTAATAATTCCACGCATCATGTCGCCACACATTACTGTACATCTATACACTTTAACTCCACGCATAGTATCGACACATGTTCTAATTCCACCCCTTCTAATTCTACATTTTGCAATGCCACGCGTTACATCTCCATACATTAAACTTCACGCATTATACCGTCACGCGTCCTAATTCCACACTATATATTTCCCCGGCGTTCTAATTCTATATATTACTCTTCCAACGGATACATCGCAAACTCTGAAAACTTTCTTCTCTGAAACGAATATCACCAATCACTCTGACAGTGAACATTTAAATGCATTTTTTGTTTCGAACCGATATAACGACACGTCCTGCACATAACTCGGCTAGTTTATTTATACCATAGTAAATTCAGAGTACACTCACTCGTGCATTTGCCACTCGATACGGCATCGCGCATGAATTCCTCCAAGAGAAGATGACAAAACAAGCCAACCAAATCGTTTATCATTCGCGTAGAATTCGCCTTTTCAGTTCGTCGATCTTTATCTAGCATTGTCTGGTACGAATCCGTAGAACTTGTTCCAAGTTCTCCGTCTGTTCGCTGTAGATGAATCTGCAGTTTCCGGCCGTACAGTTTTGAAACTGGCATCAACGGCACGAAAATTCAAAGACCAACACAATGCGTTGCTGGCCTTCGTACGGCGAAGCGTTCTAGGCAAACAACAGCCTCGATTTGTACGCGTAAACATCGCTCGTACATTTTTGTTGGGATCACGAAAAAGTGGCTTCAAGAAAAGTTGGGTGTGTTTTAGGTGGAAATTTCCGTGGTCGAGGTTAACGTTATCTTTGGTTCTTAACTGTATCGTCGAAGAAAACATGGAATTTTACAGGGAAACCAAGGCCCGTCGAAACGTATAATGTATTTATTGTGTGGTAATCTTAACAATCGGACCGGCCCGCTTGTGGAGTCCCTGTAAAGCCTTTGTTCCTCGAACAAACCGTCTTACATAATATTCTATGTAATGTCGAACAAACCATGTGGCTCGTTTGTTCGCTCGTTTTGGATTTGCGTAAAAATTATAATCGGTCACGCTGGCGATACCTCGTATCAGCGATTCGACATCCCAATTCGAACTTGCACATGCGTTATTACCATTGGCGTAATATTTTTCTTTTTCGAGGAGGGGCTCGGGTGTGGAAATCGCTTTTCGATACACAACTTGTAGTACGTTTGGTATTGCAAAACCCTTGGTTTCTTCAGAATGGGCTTTGGTTCTTCAGATATTTTATGCGGACCAAATTAGTTAGAGCGCTACGGCAACCTGCTTGCAAGTCCAATGAATTTTAAAAGTAAAGGCATTTTCTTAACAATTTTTATCGCAGGGCAAATTTCTTGGGTACATGTATGTACAATATGAAATATGTTCGGCAGTCACAAAATCTTTGAACTCGGAAGAATTTTGCAGGATAAATATCACTCGTTGAAGGGAAAAATTAAATGTTATAGGGCCACCTCTATCAAATTTAGCAAATAACCAAATTCTGACTAACTGGCTACAACTGCGAAGATAGGAAAAGCGTGGAAAACAGAAACTACGCGTTGCAAAATATTGCGTAGCGGTTTCAGAAGAAATCAATCGGGGTAGCGTAGAAAGCTCACCAGTATAACATGAGCCTCGAGTGGTGCGTGTGATTAAAGCTCGATTCACTATTCAAGTGTACTTTCTTACAATTACTTCAAAATTACGTTAACAGAATCTGCTTTCGAATTGAAAGACTTATCGATTGGTTACAAAAGTTTTGAAAATTGGAGCTCGACACAGTAACAGTTTCTATAATTTTATCGTATTTGCAACCGAAATTTCCGTTCACAGTTTCACGGAGATATTAGGATTTTTTCGACCAGTTTGAGACATCCAACAGGGTTTTAGATAACATTCGACCTTATCATTATCCTGCTCCTACGATTGTTAACATCGTCGTTTCACGTGATACAGTACAAACGAAACCTAACTCGTGATCATCCAATTTGTGGACGAACTGTACAAGCGTACTTGCGATCTAAGGCAATGTAACACGTAACAGACATTTATTTCGTTGTCACGTGTGGAGGACGTTCGAACTCTTAACTGTTACTTTTAGTTAATTATTAATACTTATTTGCTTGATTACTAATATTTATTTCCTTCTTTCATATTAACTTCTTCCTGTACTTTGAGGAGTCTCACTCGTGACGCACTTACAGCTCAAATATGACAAACCTTACTCAAATTTCGAATACTCTTCATCTTCAAATTTAGGTCCAACTATAAATTACATTATCAAGGATCCCTGAATATAAAGTACGCAGAATATTTTAATTTTCTTTGTTCGTTTTAATGTTATATTCTTGACTGACGCACTGTTATAGTCATAGTTATAGTTGATGTTATAGTTATAGTCACAGTTATAATTATAGCTATTGTCACAGTAATATTTATAGTTAATGTTGTAGTTATAGTCACAGTTATAGTTATAGTTAATGTTATAGTTATAGCTATAGTCACAGTAATATTTATAGTTAATGTTGTAGTTATAGTCACAGTTATAGTTATAGTTAATGTTATAGTTATAGTTATAGTCACAGTTATAGTTACAGTTAATGTTATAGTTTTGACTGACGCACCTGATAAATAAACGCTACGTCAAGAGGTTAACAACTACTATTATATTTCATATTACTAGAATAATACATTAAACAGTACAGTGCTATAGTAACATGCTATAAACATGTATATATCCTCCTATATCCTACGCTCGATACTTTCGCTATCATTCCGATACCCTTCTAAACGTTGCCTTACTATGGACCTTTAGTAGAAACGAATCGATTTCCACAATTTCTTCGTGACTCATCGTTGATTCATACTCCGTAGTGAACTTTTCTAACCAGAGAAAAAGCTTGGCTCGATTTTGGGCTTCCCGCTTATCTATCGGGTTTGAGTCAGCATGCAAACAGAACACGTGAACCGTTTCACGCGATCCGTATTACCGATGAGATCAACTGTACACTCGCATGCGAATATGATTTCTCTTGGGACATTCGAATTTTAGAGCCTAGGATTTGAAATTTGGTGGTTTGGGAATTTGGAAAAATTGGGTTCGGGGGTTGAAAGATTGGGAATTTGGGGATTTCAGGGTTTGAGGGTTTGAGGGACTGGCAAGTTTGAGGATTTGGAGATTTGGGGATTTGGGGATTTTTGAGGGTTTGGAAACTTAGGGATTCGGGATTGTGTGGAAATTTGGGATGTGAGGAATTTGATGATTTATAAATTTGGGGTGTGAGAATTCGATGACTTGTAAATTTGGGGTGTGAGAAATCTATGATTTGCAATTTCAGTGATTTAGAAATTTGGGACGTGAGAATTCGATGATTTGCAAATTTGGGGTGTGAGAATTCGATGACTTGTAAATTTGGGGTGTGAGAATTCTATGATTTGCAATTTCAGTGATTTGGAAATTTGGGACGTGAGAATTCGATGATTTGCAAATTTGGTTGGTGAGGATTCGACGATTTGCAAATTTGGCGATTTAGAAATTTGGAAACTGAAACTGGTGCTTTAGAAACTTGAGACTTTGAGAATTTGGATATTTAAAAATTTAGGTACTTGAGTATTTGAATATTTTGTAGATTTAAGAATCTCTGGCTTGAGAACATAGAAATCTTGAAGTTTGAAGTTCTACTTATTTGAGAATTTTTCAACTTCCAAATTTAAACCAAAAAAAATATAAAGTTTCCATATCCTTTCCAGTGAGTATGAACTTATTTGAGAATTTTTCAACTTCCAAACTTAAACCAAAAAAAAATATAAAGTTTCCATATCCTTTCCAGTGAGTATCAACTCATTTGAGAACATTTCAATTTCCAAACGTGAAGCAAAAAAAATTTTAAAGTTTGCATATCCTTCCCTATTTCCTTATTTAATAATTTCTCAATTTCCAAATTTGAAACCAACAAAAAATAAAAAATTTTCCATATCCTTCCCGGCGAAGTTATCTGACCCTCCATCTAATTAAAATCTTTAAAAGTCACATTACCCGATTCATCATCCAAGGGTTAACGATATGCGCAAAGTACATAGTACAGCAGTGGCAAGTTTACAATTTAAATTTTTCGTAGAGCTGATGGAAAGAGATGAAATGGTCGGTACTTTTGAGTCTAGCCTGGTTATTTGCTACTGGGCGCCTCTGGAGCGACATACTCTCGTTATTGGCGGCTCCAAAACGATTAAACGAGTCGTTTGCAGATAACTCAAGAGATCAGCGTCGAGCGTCACCGACCACGCGACTTTGCATTGCAAAGTTTGCCCTCGTGCGTTTTGCGTTTATCGTCGAGACGAGACGTCGTATGTACATCCAGATTTTCCGTTAGCGTATTTTCTTTTTTTCCTTTTTACATTTTTACTTTCGTTGCTTTTTACATCCGTTGCTGTAGCACACGATAATAAAGGTCGGAGTAAACCGAAACTCCTTCTGATCCGCTATATCTCCGCTCAAAACTATTACGTAAAGTAGTTCCTTTTATTACGACGTATCTCGAATGACTTTTCGCTGATCCCGCTTTTCGTCAGTATTGATTATTGTCGCGATTCCGTGAATCGTTTGCGTAGTGGAACTTTTTACGATCACAGATATCGTACAACACTCTTTCACTTATTTTTACCCCGGAAAAGGGTCGCATTGGGGTTGAAATTCTTTACCTTTTTACTAAAATAAATATTCTTACTCGAAAGCACGAGATGGCTAGTGTGACCTCTGCTCTGGGGATCAAAACGCAGTTAATCGCGAATATCTCCTTATATATCAGTCCCACGACAAAAATAGTTATGAGGAAATTTATAGCTTGAGAAATTCTCTATAAAAAAGGTTATATGGACTTTCTTTGTACGAGCAACCGTTTTCATGCTTGACTTCCACCGAGAGGTCACGAACCCTCAATTTTTTCGAGTCGTCGAAATTGTACGGAATAAAAATAATTTTAATTTCATCAGACACTTTATCAGAGCTTGTATTCATTCTTATGAAAATAAGGATATAGGAACATAATTAAATTAAAGAACATAATATATTTAACAAAAAGTACGAAACAGATAAACGAAATGACTGGAAAGGCGATCGATTGATGAATTAAATTATTGGCAGTTAACCGGTCTTTAACGCGTAACTGTACATGCGGATCGTTCATAATACGGAGCAACACTATTTCTGACAAACGGCACTATAATTAGAGTCGTGCATGCGGATGAACGAAGGGAAGAGAGAAAAAAGAACAAGCATCGTCAAGACACGTGGGTGAAATCGAGTAAAAATTGTGGAAAGTTTCCAGAGAAACAAAAAAAAAATAGGAATCCTGAAACTTACAGTCGCAACGCCGATTGAGCGTATACTTCACGCCGATTACGTGCAGTTTCTTTTTTCTGTTAGGCGATCGATAAGGATAAAGTAACGACCTTATCTTATCGAAAGTTAAATTTCGTAAATTGCAGCTTTACGCTCCAGAGATTAACTTTCTACCGACTTTTGTACGCTGTATCTGCTAATTTCAATTCATTGCTATGGAAATTTTGATCCTCTATTCCCTGGAATTATGTTCGATAAATTATGTTCGTAATTCGATAGGTTAAATATATTCGATTGGTTCTATTTTAAATTTGGGGTTCGTAGGCTTAGTGTTAGGTTTGAAAATTTAAGAATTTTTTGAAATTTTAGATCCTTGTCTGAAATAAAATTTCACCCAAGTTAACCAAAGACGCCATTCGCTAAAAATAAGCAACGAAGTTGTCTGTGCAAAAGTATGGACAGGGGTTAGGGAACTGTCCAAATTTTCGATCCTTGTCCGAAATAAAATTTCACCCAAGTTAACCAAAGACGCCAAAATTTCTTAAAAATAAGCAACGAAGTTGTCTGTGCAAAAGTATGAACAGGGGTTAGGAACTGTCTAAATTCGGCGGGGATGAAAATTGAAAACCAACCGAAAAATCTTTGCCCTGTTGCAGCTAACTTGGACACTGTCATCACGCGGAAACCTGATATTCGGTCGGTAGATGCCTTTTGAGAGCCGCTGGCCCGAATCAGCGTGGAACCATACAAAGCCACATGTACGTGAAGGAGACACTAAAATATTCATAGTCGTGTGTCGTCGGTGTTTAGTTGTGCTTTCGTACTTTTTATATGTCGCGCGGTTTCCTGGCCGCAATGGCGAACCACGGATTCTTTCGGTTTCTCCTGGTTCGCCTAAATCAGAATGACAAGACACGGCCTCCCTCTTCTTTCGCTAGGATACACCCTGCTGCTCCGACATTAAAAAAAAAAACAAATAACCACGAATTTCTCGTTCGCCGTTTGCCATTTTTATTTCTGTTTATTTTTAGTTTGCTTCTATTTTTCCGTTGTTTACCGCTCGCCCAAATCGCTCCTTAAGCCCGGTACACACTTGGACATTATCGTTTGGCACGATGACCGAACGGTTTTGAGTAATTTAGAAACTTTGTATAGGAACTGTGTAGATACAGATTGTAGATTCCTGTCATACATTGTCACGTATCCAAACTAGAACCTGCCAATTTCTAGCGAACTTGTGAAAGTTTCTCCTTCGTTCAAACCATATTTTCTAAGTAGATCCTCTGTTGTCAAAAATAAATTCTGACAGTATGAGTAAATCCTTAATTTCCCATAGAAAGTTTGACTGTGCCTATGAATCACCTTCTGTATTTCCGAATTTGTTGTAGAAAAAGTTCGAAGTATCTATGTCATGGAAAACTGCTGTCATTTCTTTTGAATCATCCTGTATTAACCCGAGAAAGATATTTCGAATCGCGAAGAATATGGAATTGCCAGCTTTGAGTCAGCCTGTAGGTCTATGATAAAAGTGTAACCAAAATGGAGTCCACCGCACCGGTATTGAAAGTAGCTCGATAATAAGGACGTATCCCTGTTTTGTGATTACAGGGAATGTGTGACATGTTCATCCAAACACAGCAGACGAGTAGCGTCAACGGCAGCAGCAGCAGCAGCAGCAGCAGCAGTAACAACACCGTTCACCATCACAGCAAGAAACGCAAGTTGGAGTACAACGTGAGTCAGCCGGTGATCCAGCACGCATTGGTCCAATCGACCGGCGACTACCAATTAGACAATACCGGTCTGCAACAACGGTACTCCGTGAACGGTGCTAATACCGCGTTTAGCTCGCTGCACAACAATAATGCGCTGCAGAAGAGTAGCCCGAACCAACAGACCCTGGTACGAGCCTCGACGATCAAGCTCTTAGACACGTACCAACGCTGTGGCCAGAAGGTTGGTGCCACTTCCTGCGATCTACTCTTACCGATAACGTTCTTCCTCTTTCTAACCCGCCTGATCGCATCGCGTTCAGGAAAGTCAACTTCTCTCTCCTCGTTTTCTTGCCGCCCAACGTATAACGCTTCAAGATGAACGCTGCAGATAGAACAGCCAGCTCCATTAATTCTTATCTGGATAGTCTATTTTATGTGCCGTAGACGAACAAATGCAATTTCTTGCGATATAGATGTACCTTGTCTCGCACTCGATATCGCGGGTTTCTATGATGCTGCTATTACAGGGCACTGGGTATCGCGAGTTCCGTTAATTAGATCAAGATCATTAGATCGAGTTATGGGGTTTGAGGAGTAGGGTTGTAGATGTTTAGGGATTAGGGGTATAGGGAGAGAAGTATGGAGGTTTAGGACTTGTCTAACTTAGGGATTCCAGAAGTGTAGAGGTTTTAGGGACATAGAGATGTTTTAGATGCCCATAAGTATAGAGATCCACGAATTTAGAAAACTTGTATAAGGTATCTAGAGGTATAGGTTTTAAGAATATGGACCTGGAGGCTATTCTCAAGATGTAGGTGTCTAGGTACATAGAAATCTAAGAATCTAAAGATACAGCAGTATCAAGATCTAAAGGTACAGATACAGAGTTCAAGATACAGCAATCTAGAATTACAGGATCCAAGAAGAAACCTAGGACTTAAATTGTAGGGATATCTTTCCAATAGCACACATAAGGCCAATAGCAATTTACCTAACCCCTAACTCTTCGAGCTGGAAAATTCGAACACCGTTTGCGATTGATCAATCGAGCTATCCTTGCATCTCTACCTAATCTTCTTAACGCCTTATCGACGGATGGCATTGTTTTGCGCAAATTGAATATCATCGCCTATTACGAGTGACGCAAGTTGAAGTATGTCAAAGTATCGCGTGCCGTAGATCGTACACAGTTTCTTTCGTATCAGTCGTATGAAATTGTCATTCTTCCAGGTCAAGTTACGTGTACTATAAATCATTGTCGTCGTATCTTTCAGACACGAATTTTAAGAAATGGTCATTAAATCTCGCAGCTAACGGTATATTTCAGAGACGACTTTCACGATGTCTCAATAAATCTTCGAACAAGTATCGCGTTCGGGGTACATTCAGCACCCAAATCCTAGGGATTGTACCCTTCCAGGTGCTTCTTGTCCCCTTTGTATAGACCGTTTCTTTGCCGCTTTCGAGGGTACGGCGGGTTTCACGGCTAGTAACGAATCTGGGCTCAATACTTATGTTCCGAGTATGTCCCTATTTCTGCATCCACCTGGTTACTCTAAGTTTGTATGGAGCTTGGAAGGTTCCCACCGTTCGATTAAACCTTGAAAGAACCTAGGAACTGTCCGAGATCACAGGAGAAATTAGGAAGAGCCTAAGCAGAACTTGGCAGATCGTCAGATCGACTCTTGTCAAAGAGTCTAAGGATTTTGAGAAAAATTTTAGTAGAAGCCATAGATCTTCAGAAGTTATGGACTTTCTCTAAAACTTACAGCAGAAGTTGTAGAGAACCTAGAGGAACCTGTGAACCTATGAAAACCCTAAGACATCCTTGTAAATAACCAGTGTGAACAAACTACTCTACATTAATTCTCAAAATCACGTTCTACCCTGATTTCTTATTCTGACGTCCAAATTACCCTATTTGCCGTAGAACTACGGTCATTATGGTTATTTTGTATAATACTGTCTGCTTGTCTTCGCTTGTTTTTCTCTTCGTTTCCGTACTCGTTACAATGTTTGCGGTCGCTAAAAATAACACGTATCCTTCGTCGAAAAAGTTATCGTGGTCGATCAATAGTACCTGAAAAAATGAAGTCGAAAATTTGAAGCACCACAAAGACCTCTTTCGATCAATGTTTCGAGTGTGGGTGGAACTAATCGCGAATCGAAATAATTGGTTTCGAGCACAGAGGATGAACAGGTCGTTCGCCAGGTGACTTTTCCGTATGGCGTAGTTGCGTATTGATTACCGTCAAGGCTTCTATTTCATATTGCATACTGTTCGTTGCAATGCACTTCCGTAAGCGATCCTAATACCCGCGAAAAATTTCATGCCAAGGATTTTCGCCGAAACGGGGATCGATACCGCGAAACGTGTTTCATGGAAACTTTCCTCGTTCTTCCATGTTCCTCGTTCGCTATTACGTTCCTCTTCTGCAAGTGCTATTTTCGCGGTACATGTGTTCAGCGAATTTTCATCAACGTTCGATGAATCTGCAACGGGTGTTCGATAAATTTACGGCAACCTTGACTAATCAGCAATGCATGTTTGCACCGGAACAATGATTTTTAACTCCATAAAGTTTCGACAATGTGCATAGTTCGCACGAGGTGAGCTCTGAAACGATGCTCCTGTTGGTTGAAGTCAAACGTGTTCTTCGTATAGGGGCAAGTAGTTGATTACAGGTGTCACATCAATGATAACACAATAAAAAAGTGGTCTTTCAAAATCAGAGCTCATCTTGTGGCATACATGCATACTTCAAGTATCAATAATTTTGAACAACGCGTTGAACTAACTTTCAGCAACGTATGCACCCGTGTGATCGACTAATTTTCAGCAACGTATGCACCCGTGTGTCCGACTAACTTTCAGCAACATTTGCGCCTATAATGCACCCGTCGAGACCACCCCACTTCGACGGACCCAAGGATCGGCGTGGTTGTTGATCATCCCCTCGTCAAGTTCGAAATCACTTCTCCTGTGCTCGTCGTTTTCTCGTCCCTTCCCAACCAAAGCTATCGAAGCGAACTTTACGATATCTTAACGTCCAAAAATTTTTGTATAAGGTGTATTCCTCCTACAGAGAAAAACTTGGTCGAGGGAGGGTAATGGTGACGGCCTGGCAGTCCACTCCGCCAACGCGACGAACGCAGTGGGTAGTACTGTAGTGTCGCAACACCATAATCAACAGCAACAGCAGCTGCAACAACAACAGCAGCAGCAGCAGCAGCAACAACAGCAGCAGCAGCAACAACAACAGCAACATAAGCAGACAGGCATGACGGCGCACAGCAAACAAGTGACCAATGCTGCCAATGGAGGCGGTGGCAGCAACCCCCAGGGCGATGGAGATTACCAATTGGTCCAGCACGAAGTTTTATACTCTATGACTAATCAGTACGAGGTCCTCGAGTTTTTGGGCAGAGGGACTTTTGGACAGGTAAGGAATTATCCCCGGATTTATTGTAGCGCAGGAACTTACCTGAAACTCAATTGTCCTCTTTTGGTTTGTCTGCAGGTCGTAAAATGCTGGAAAAAAGGAACTAATGAGATTGTGGCCATCAAAATTCTAAAGAACCATCCATCGTATGCGCGCCAAGGGCAGATTGAGGTACGCACTCTAACAAATGTCCGGAATTATTTTGTTATGCGACCTATCACATTAACCACTGGTTGAATATAATCGTAATTTTGAACAGGTCTCCATCCTGTCTCGACTCAGTCAGGAAAACGCGGATGAGTTCAACTTTGTGCGCGCTTACGAGTGCTTCCAGCACAAATCCCACACGTGTTTGGTCTTCGAGATGTTAGAACAGAATCTGTATGATTTTCTGAAACAGAACAAATTTTCACCCCTACCGCTCAAATACATCCGACCTATCCTTCAACAAGTCCTCACCGCTCTTTTGAAACTGAAGGTAAGTTGATTGTTTAGCGATGGTATCATTGTGTGGGCGATTCATCGAACTGGGTTTATCGAATGTTCACAGCAATTGGGGTTGATTCACGCGGATCTTAAGCCAGAAAACATCATGCTGGTAGATCCAGTACGTCAACCTTATCGTGTCAAAGTTATTGATTTCGGGTCAGCCTCCCACGTGTCCAAAGCTGTCTGCAACACGTATTTGCAATCGCGATACTACCGTGCGCCTGAAATTATACTTGGACTTCCATATTGTGAAGCGATAGATATGTGGTCGCTCGGCTGTGTGGTTGCAGAACTGTTTTTAGGATGGCCTCTGTATCCTGGTAGTTCAGAATACGATCAGATTCGATATATAAGTCAGACTCAAGGCCTACCAACGGAGCACATGTTAAATAATGCCAGTAAAACAACCAAATTCTTTTACAGAGACATGGACAGTGAGTAATCGAGACTTGATCAAGGTCTTCGGGTTTCCAGTTGAGTAGATGCTAATCTTTTATCTACTTACAGGTACATATCCATTTTGGCGATTGAAAACACCTGAAGAGCACGAGGCTGAAACGGGCATTAAATCTAAGGAGGCAAGGAAGTATATTTTTAACTGTTTGGACGATATTGGTCAAGTGAATGTTCCGACGGATTTTGAGGGTGGTCAACTTTTGGCTGAGAAAGCGGATAGAAGAGAGTTCATTGACCTCTTGAAGAGGATGCTCACAATGGACCAGGTAGTAATATCTAATTGATGCTTTAATTGCACGTAATCGAAGGATCACCTCTGCTTTTACGTCGTACGAAAAAATATATCTTTGTTCATCGCGTAACTTTGTTGCTTGTAGGAGCGCCGCATAACACCCGGGGAGGCTCTGAACCATGCCTTTGTTACGCTGGCCCATTTAGTCGATTATGCACACTGTAACAATGTTAAGGCTTCCGTCCAAATGATGGAGGTTTGTCGACGGGCAGGTGATTTCACTGCAAGCCCAGCGCATCACCAAGCTCCTCCAGCGCCTCAGCCACCTCCACCAACATCGTTGGTAGCTAACTTTGTGCCGACGACGAATGGCAGTGCCGTAACTTTCACCTTTAACAACCAATTGACCAATCAAGTACAGCGTTTGGTCAGGGAACATCGCACTGCACAAACAGGATATGACAATCTGGTACATAGACAAATCCTCTTTAGCATAGTGCATCACACTCGATATCATATATCCAACAAAAATTTATTCTTATTATGGATGTATTTTTTTCCAGTATCAAATATACAGTAACAGTAGTCGTCGCGCGACTCAGTACAGTAGTTCGTCTAGCGGATCGAATAGTGGACGAAGCGGAGTGCACGACTTTCCGCATCAGTTGGTGCCTGGTCTGCTTTGTCATCCACCCAGTTATCAAACGATGCCAAGTCCTGCAAAACACGTAGTCGTTGCTCAAGTAAGTGCGATATGCTGATTACCATTGTGATTCAACGTATCCTCTTCGCTTGTTCTTGATCGTTCATTTATATTTCAATCTCCTCTTGCAGCCACCGCAAGCACAACAAGGTCCGCTACAGATCCAACCATCGATTATATCGCAGCAAGCTGTTGCTGCGGCAGCTGCAGCTGCTCAGCAACAGTACGCGGCGGTACCGGTATCAATGGTGGAAACTGGACGTCAAATGTTATTAACGGTAAGTCCAAATTGAACACATTTGGAAACGAAAAAGTGCTGATTCTACCCTTAATCTGCAGAACGCTGTACAAACGTCTTGGCCTGGTGGAAGTCGTCAAATGGCTGCCATCGTACCATCCTGGCAGCAGTTGCCACCGCAACACGCAGCCATACAGCAGCCATTGTTGAGCGACGCTGGAGATTGGGGGAGACCTCTTATCGTGGACAGTTCTGCTATTCTGCAGGTACGAGTGGTTGCATGAAGAATAGGGACCTTGGGAATCTAGATTATAATCCACTACCATCCATTGCTCTTAATCTGAATATCCATCTTACTGAAGATTCCCAGCCCCCATAATTTTCATGTTTAAAACTTGTCGATTTTTAACTAATTTCCCTCGTTTTGGGAAGGATCAGCGGCCAGTATTCCCTGTCACGGAAGTCTACAATACTAGTGCCCTCGTTGAACATCCTTCACAAAGTTGGGGCAAGCGAAGCGTGACGAAACACCATCAGCATCATGTGACGGTACCACAACAGTCTCAGCACAGGCACGAGCATAAAAAGGAGACCCAGCAATTGAGTCCTGTGAAGAAGAGGGTAAAGGAAAGTACACCGCCTAGCAACATGAGACGGCATTCGCCTACGAGTGGTCACTGGCAACAACCGCCTATGCAACAGCATCATCACAGCAGCAAACACAGCAGCAGTCATAACGTAGAACATCATCAAGTTACATCCGGTAGACAGCAAACCATCACGATCCACGATACTCCATCGCCAGCCGTTTCTGTTATCACGATTAGCGATAGCGAAGACGAAATACCGGGCAAATGGTAAGTTACCGTTTAACGATTTTTTGGAACTGGTACCGTCAAAAAGTAGTTAGACGCAAATACTGCCCGCAGTTTTTTTATAAGACTTATTTAACACGAATGCAACGCGATCATTACATTATAAGTTGGAAAATTCAGTTAGTACCTGTTCAGTTGCTTCGTGAGAACAAATTTAGTATAGCCATGTGATCATACGATGATACACGGTTTATTCAGTGTGTCTGTGTACAGACGTATCATTCTGTACAAAGTAGTCTCGCAGCCAACAAGTTTTTCGTTTATGTAGACCGTATTTATTAGTAATTTATTAGTAGAATAGAAGTAGTTGAATCATGCATGAATATCATTGACAGCTGTGAAGATCGCCAATGCGGAGCCTGTCAAAATTTGGCAACTCGCCTGTCTGGCGATGGACGTCCAGTCCGCGAGGAAGTCATTCGAAGGTACATTAATTGTAATGCAGTAACACGTAATCTTACGCACTAGTACAACGATAAATGGTTAACGATCACTAAAGAATATGGCATCTAACACAATGCTTGTAACAAAATAACGATCCCGAAAATTCCGAATATTTAACGAGTGCTTCGAGTATTCATGCTTGCGGGGGAAAAATTTTACAGGACAAACGATTGCACATGCTGCGTTTCAAAAATACGAATAATTCAAAGCTTGGAGCGTCGATTTTTCTCGGCTACGAACTAACAACGCTTCAGTCTACAGCCTCTAGCGTTCAATGCCATTTTTTTCATGCTCTGTGTAATCTTTGTTATGAGTTCTGTGGGAAAAAGATCGGTACACTTTGTTCCCCATACAATTGACCCTATTCGTTGTTCATTTCAGTACGCAGTCAACGCCACGCGTCGTTCAACCGATCCAACAAACCCATTCGACCACTCAGCCTCATACCAACGGGCACGTTACGACGCATAGCACGTCCCAGAGGACACAACGGAAAAACATCATCAGTTGTGTAACCGTGGGTGACAGCGATGGCGAAGCTAGTCCAGGCCGAGCGCATACTCATTTGTACCAACATTTGCCGCAACATCCTCAGCATCAACAAACCACGCAGTTAATTAAACATGAGCCCCAACAACAGCACCACGTCAGCAGGTAATTAATTTTAATCGAAACGACTAATACTTTTGACTTATAAAGATATAAGAATTAAGAATATGATAGTATAAATTATGTCATTCATATCACATGACAGTATTCAGTATAGCAGTTGTGTGTGACGTCAATCTTTCTGTTGATTGCAGTAGCAGCTCCGGATATTCTTCACAGTCACAAAAGAAGCGGCTATTGGCAAAAGTACAATCCGAGTGCAATATGGTAAATGTTGCGACAAAACCAGAGCCCGGCGTCGAGTACCTCGCTCCACATCCGTGTCACGCGCCAGCCTGCAAAGAGCCACCGACCTATCAGGTTAAAAATCAATTCATTCGAATATCGATATATCTTTTTTCTTCTGTTGCGGTACTTACGTTCCTTGTGTAGGGAGAAAAATATTTGGCCAGCTGCTTGATCCCTAGTCCCCCGTTTTAGTAATCATTCTTTTGGCAATGTTTTTCTAGGATGATGCCTATGACATGCATGACTACTTCTTGCAGTATGTGACCACGAGTAGCGCGCATCCCCACCTTCAAGAGCAGCACATCGTGTACACGACCGGCACGGACAAGCGGGTATCGTGGCCTGGAAAAAGAGCCGAGTACAAACACGAATACGTTCAACCACCTGCTGCTCATTCGAGAGACCATCAGAAATGGGCGGTAGCGAATACTGTGCATCAGTATAGGTGAGCATACGCGTAGCATGTCATTTAATCAACACGCACACGAAGCATGCAGTATATCGTCTCACTGCATAGATTTAGGAGAAATAACGATAAGAGATAGAACAAATAGAGTATCGCGACAATTATGTGCACGTAGTTATCGAATGCATGTAAGTTTTCTCTTCGAACGAGAAATGACCAAACCGATGACGAGATGTGCACGCCGTCGAGACGAGCTCGGGCAAGTAAACGTAGCATGAATTTCTATATCATTCATAACCATTTGCGCTGTCACAACCCGCAGAGTAGATAAGAATTGACGTATAATTGTGATCTGTCGATAAGTTTAGCAGGTTGAGTGGTAACGCAAATGGTCAATAAGGATCTCATCCGAATAGAAACGAGATCCTCTGTCGGTTTGGTCTCTATCCTCTTAGAGAGACTTCTTAAAGTAAGTAACAGTCGCATGGAAATTGCATAACGAAGGGATGGATTTTGTTTTGGGTTTTGTAGGCAGAGCCAAGTGGTGGGTACGGCAGCCCATCCGGGTCATACCCACAGTCATCATGGGCATCCGGCCCACTTGAGTCCTGGGGGCGGTGGCGGGGGCAGAAGTCCTGCAGGGGGGCCTGTAATAGGAAGTGCCCAGCACCTGGGACAACCCCTGTACCAGGAGTACGCCCATGTGCGTTCAAGAGCCCATGCCGTGCCACCCCCGGTGTACGTAACAGCCGCTCCTTCTCAGGCTCCCACTGCTATCCAGCAGCAACAAGTGCCCACCTATCAGGGATTCACACCCGGGTGGGTACCTAGACACCTAGTTGATGCATGCATGTGTGTACCATTTATTATATTTTCGTTCTAGCGATAGTTTATCATCGTATTGTTTGTTACCTGATCGTTGTTATACCGTAGACTCGTTGCCAGTTACATTAGAGCGTTCCTATGCAACTTCGTTTCTCACTAGTTTGTCGATGGCATGTAACGTTGTAGAACGTATGATACTTTTTATTTTTTATCAGACTATATTTATTTATTTCTTCTTCACGAGACGTCACGGTGTGTAGACCGTTAGTACATTTTTAAACTTTCCACGACTTTATTAGGGATATGCATAAGTCGTCAATTAGTTTGACTTAAGTTGAGTGCTTGGCGTATATTGTACATTGTAAATTGTGGACTTATCTTTTTGAACAATAAAAGAAGCTTTTATTACTCCGAAACAAAATGGCGGACATTTGTTATTACATCGTTATCATAGCTTATCTGATAGTCGGTTGTTATTCGAATTAAGTGATACGTTTAATATGGAGTTATAGTCAGCACATTTTTATAAGAAATCGAAAGCTAATAAATATGTAAATGATTGTATTTAACTTTGAAACAATTGATTACTTATGGGTACCCCTGGTATGTAGAGTCCAGAGTATTCCTCTAGGGAAAACTTCGTTGCTCGATATAACTCGTCGATATAATGTAGTAGATTTTGTAGTAGATTTAAAAATTGCACCAACGTTTCGTGAACCTAAACAGACGACAATTCTAAGTAAAGAAAGTTATTTTTTTTGTTATATATATATATATATTGTTCCTTGTAAAATCGAATGCGTATGGAACGAAGAAATAATTTTCTAAATCAAATGTTTCTCATTTTTCCTATTTTTTTTTTTCTAGAGCTTTACGGAGACTTTCTAACGTTCATCATCCCGTTTTTTACAGCTCGTCTCCATTAACGTTGTATGATTCTAGTCGAGCGTTGCCACCACCAGCTCATCACAGCTCGGCCAGGCCGTTGCTGGCAAGTCATGCAGCGCATCCACTGCCTGCACATATGCAGCCAACAGCCGTATACGGATTGGCCCCTCTTTCGCCGGCCAAACATCAATATCAACCTTCTGGTTTGTGGTTCACCGAGTAAACAAAAGAAAAATAAATTATTCCCCTGTCTGTCTGGTTTTTCAGAAGAAGCTCAAAGCGCCGTGTAACGAAGCCGCTATAGATCCGCTTCGACGCAATTTATTTCTCTGTTTTTCCCGTTGCGCGTGCTGACTTAAACGCGAGAAAACGATCGAACGAAAGGGAAAGGAGAGGGAAACAGGGAATTCAAGGATGGTTCAGTTACGTTCTTTTATCCGTGAACGAAGGGGACGATTCCGCGACGCTGTTTTATTATCAACTATGGGAAAAATAAGAAACGCAGTGAAAACGCTGATCGCCTACTACAAAATTGCTACGACTGAAAAAGAGGCTCGATCCGTGTATGTGTGCGTGTGTATGTGATCGAGTTCTTGAAACAAGATGAAGAGTCGTTTATGTCGACTTGAACTTCTTCGACAATCCGTCCTTAAGCTGCGCGATTGTCCCCTTCGAACTGCCCGCACGCAGAGAATCATTGTTTCATTTGAATGGGAGAAAAAGCGAACAGAAACATATATAGGTTGGATGATTAGTACGTAGATTCGATGGCGAAAACGAAACCAGTTCTCTTTGTTTCCGTTTCGTTCGATCACGCGAGCCGGAAACGAGAGCGCAAAATCGAAAGATAAAAGGAGAACGACGCGGAGAAAGTTTGACCGTGTTTCTTTCGTCGTCCCTCCTTTGTACGAGAACAACCAATTGCTTCGATGAATTTGTAATTTGTATTATTTGTTTGTCCAAATGTTGTTTGGTGATATACACGGTCGATGTAAACGATTTTATTCGACTTAGACGGCGCATATTATGTCGATAATAATAGGTGACGACGATATTATGCATTATTATATATATAATAATATACGCTCGACGTTTTGTGCATAAGCTTTTGGAAGAGAGAATAATATCGCGCCAAGAAATTTTTACGAACACACACACACATACAGAGACGCGTGTAGAAAAAAGTATCATGCGATGTCGTCGTGACAACGCGACGATTTAAGCTGATGAAACAAACAAATGGTCGATGTGTGTCGATGATTCGACAAAACTGTTCTGTACTTCGGTGTGCAACAGTTGTATCGATGAATTTCAATTTTTTCTTTCGAGCTTTTACGTAACGGGAATAAGTTTGCATTTCTTTTTTTGTAAATGATACGTCTCCGAACGCGTATCATGCACACACGTTCTTGAATGCTCGTTAACAAACTTATCCTCAACTCGGTAGAATTCATGATAATTTTTTTTTGTTGCTCGTTGAATTTCGACCGACTGGATTTTTGTTCACGAGCGTGTACTGATATGCTTTTTGACAGATATCAAGAGCGTTCTCTTCTGTGAAGTGGACCATCGTCGATGGTGATTCCCGTTTCGTATACACATATACACGTATTACATAGAAACACACATACAGACAGTTTTGAAATTTACCATTGATGAATTTTTAAAATGTGTTCGAAGTTTTATCGATGATAGGGAGGGTTCGTGTTGTCTTAAGCATGGGTGATGTATTCGAGCACCCATCTTTTTTGGAGTTTGAGATTTCGATGTCCATTTCGATTGGAACGTGTGTAATTCTCGTTATTGACAAAAGCTGTGCCTACTCGCAGCAGCCTCAACACTATTTATTTTTATTAAGTGATTCTTATTGTCGTCATCGTAATTACTATTAATTATTATAATTACTATTACTACTACTACTACTACTACTACTATTATTATTATTATTGCAATTAGGCATCACTGATTTTAAGATAATTTTATTAGACAGTTCGCAGATTTTTTCGTAGGTACCACGTTCTCTGATTAGAATTCGTTTCAAGTAGGATTTCATCTTTTCATTTAATTCGTTTCAGTGTTTTGCATTTCATCGAGAGTTGTAGAGTTCAAGAATGTACTTTGTTCACGTACATTGCACAAATCTCTGGTTTATATAATTAGCATGATCAACAAGGAGGGTGTGAGAAATTCGTTCGGTGTCTGGTGAGATTATAAAAAAGAGAAAACGAAGCCTTCATTGCAAATGTTACGATGTCGAATGGCACACACATACACACAGTACTTTCATATATATTCTGGTGCGAAGTTCTTTTTTTCTAGCAATTTCCTCTGCGTTTACATTCGTGGAATCATGTTCTTCCTTCGCGCACTTTGTCCACGTCAGTGTAAAAAGAGAGCAGTTTCCATTGTCTCGTAATTCTTCATACCGCATTCGATGTAGATGTGCATGAACGTCGATTTTGTACATAATCATCCGGAGATATCTATCTTCCTATTATCTTTTTTCGATGTTCGACAACTCCGAGGGGTGGATCGCACGCGCCATTCTTCGACTCGCAACACTTTCGAAAATAAAACTAAAAAAATATGAAAGGTTTCTCTCCCGCGTGCTGACGTGTGTATCTCGTGGATTTTTTAAATGGAATGACGCTTAGGCATTGTTTTGCTAATTATTTTATATACATAGCTGTATGATAAACGTACGGGATATCAGCCGTGGTATGTTGATTAGAGTGATCCATGTCCAGAGTTTAATTAGGAGTATTTTACACGTAGAACGAGCAAGTGTGATTGAGCAAGTGAGACGAATGCATGCGCGGTGTGTGATGAATGGTACAAGTGAATTTTTAGGTACGTTACTATAATCACAAAGAAAAATCTTTTTAATAGATACGACGGTGCTGCCAATTCAATAATTTCAATTGATATTAAATTTCAACGGGGGCACTTTTAACACCTTGCTCGCTGTTACTTTATGTAAATTATTTTACCGTCAGATTAATCTGGAAATCAATTTAGAAATTTTCAAGTTTATACCTTTGAAATGCGGGATTTGTTATATTTGTTCTTAGTCTACTGCACCTTAGTGTTCACTTCGGTTCGTTTCGACACAGTTCGGCTCGAGTCGGCCCCTCCCACTTTTGAAGCTACCTTTGCACGCAGGTGTACACTATGGCAGGTGTACAGCGCGAACTCATACGCCTACAGACGCTAGTTTCATCTATGTTAAATAAAATGAGCTGGTAAGGTGTTAAAAAATGGAACTATACTTTCTCAAAACCAAAAGGCTCCTTTCTTTTAACCGTACCAAATTGCTGTGCAGCCCGTCAGAACGATTGGCCTCGGTAATTTTTATTTGCACGATACAAAAGGAAAAATTGTGTAACCAAGTCGATGTGCCTGTTTAACGATTAATCATATTACACTGAAGATTTGTATTTACTGCAAAGGAGAAAATAGGACCGCCTCTTTGATACACGTATTTAACTGAGATCGCAGTAAAACAAAATGAAATTACAATCAACGTAAGTGTTGCGTGTTAATATCAACAAAACACGTTTACGAATACGATATATATATTATTAATTAACACAAGCACGTTTGCGCGCCTATACATGTACATATATTATACGTATGCTTCCATGTAAGCCATGTAGAAATTTAATCGCGTAGAGGAAAAACATTACCCTACCATCTTTTCTCCGTAAGTCGTGAGATAAAAAGAAGTCATATCCTTAGATTTCGCGTTCCATTTAAAAGGAACAAAACTGTTGATGCGCGTGTAATGTATTATAAAACATTAGTTCTCTTTTTTTTTTTCTTCTTCGAACTCGTACATGATGCACAAAGCAACACACGTATAGATTGTATGTATACACGTGACGATCATACGCATATTATAGTCATATCATGCTTCATTTTCGCATCTGTATCGTTCGTTTGCGTGGATAGACGGGAGAAAAGAAAAGCTTTCAGTCAGGTTCGTCGGGTTTCTCATCCAAAGAGCTGGTTTTGACTGACGATATTGTAACATTTATTAACCTTGTTTTTTATTTCTTTGTAACGTTAGCGCATTAAGACTGTAATTGTCGAACCGTGTCCGGATTAACTGCTGATATATATATATATGTATGTATGTGTATGTATATTACCGTAGATGTATATTGTTATTTTAATTAGTTTCACGTTGTTATCGATGTACGAGTAAAAAGAAAAAACACAAAGTATTTGGGTGTAGATTTTTTGTTTAGCTCGCTCGGAGCCGTTACTCTCTTTAACTCTTAGAATATCGTGATCGATGTCATTACTACTAATATTAGAAAAAATGCTTATCGATTATAGAAAATGTATACTATTACGCACGCGGTTATACGTTCATTTTGTTTCTCTTTAATTTTAGTTTCGATAGAATCGTCAGTCAGTACAAGCTCACAGTCATATTTAACTAACTCCTCAGTCGTTATTATTTTTTAATGGGGGACAAAAATAGTAAAAAAAGAACACGTTGATGGATACGTGTAGTAACATGTATACCCGAAGGTTCAGAGAGGAAGAAAAGCATACCGTAATCGTAACGATGATGGTTCTAGTTGTGATATTTTATTAATTATAGTGTCGATATACGTGCGTTATCCTTGGTCTGCTTTCTCGAAAAGACCCAGTTTCCAATCTTCACGTGGACAGTTTCGAAAATTATTTCCGATACGCTGCTCTTCATCCGTTCATTCGAATTTCACTTTTCTTGCAGGGTAGAACTCCTCGTTCACTCATTCGGAATTTGGACATTTCGATAGGGGTAAATTTCAGAATCATGAGAAGTTGAGAATTCGTAATTTCAAAAGACATAGTTGATACTGTAGGAATTTTCAGATTTATAAATGAAAAGAAATTCACAAATGTGAATAAAGGGGATTCTACCTTTCGCCCGTGTTTCATCGCAAATCACAAATTCTCATACAAAGATAAATCGAAATTGAGCCGCGAGCGTAACAGTTTACCTCTTCCTTTCGACACCCCTATTTACACGCTCGAAGCTAGAGATATATACGATTATTTGAATCGTTTTTAAATTTGTACATAGGTTTCTTAATCGCATCAGGGCTAGGATAAAGGGCTAGGGGGGTTTGTGCGTGATTTCTTAGTGTCTAGGTGTAGTGCCTAAAATGTTAACGAGATTGTGTCCAATAGTAAATTTTATTTAGCGTGGAATCTCTAAACGATCGATACGGCGTCCTCAAACGGAGCAGAGGCATCGTCTCGCATAAAATTGGTCAACAAAGAACATATTTTTGTAAGTTGATGCTTCGTTCCTTTTGAGAATGCTGGAAATTACGAATGGGGATGTTGAAGACAGCTGTTCGCGTTAAAATGAGATAGGACAAAGAACACGAGAGGAAAAAGGAATCAAAGGGACATCCACGGATAGGATTACGTTTCTTCGTGGATTTAGGATTTAATGTTCATCGCGTTGTATGAATAGTTCATATGAAATTATATTATATATATATTATATATATATACATTATATCATTGTAACAAACAAAGTAACTGACTTTTTTGCGAGGAAATAGCAGTCAGTACAAGCTCACAGTCATATTTAACTAACTCCTCAGTCGTTATTATTTTTTAATGGGGGACAAAAATAGTAAAAAAAGAACACGTTGATGGATACGTGTAGTAACATGTATACCCGAAGGTTCAGAGAGGAAGAAAAGCATACCGTAATCGTAACGATGATGGTTCTAGTTGTGATATTTTATTAATTATAGTGTCGATATACGTGCGTTATCCTTGGTCTGCTTTCTCGAAAAGACCCAGTTTCCAATCTTCACGTGGACAGTTTCGAAAATTATTTCCGATACGCTGCTCTTCATCCGTTCATTCGAATTTCACTTTTCTTGCAGGGTAGAACTCCTCGTTCACTCATTCGGAATTTGGACATTTCGATAGGGGTAAATTTCAGAATCATGAGAAGTTGAGAATTCGTAATTTCAAAAGACATAGTTGATACTGTAGGAATTTTCAGATTTATAAATGAAAAGAAATTCACAAATGTGAATAAAGGGGATTCTACCTTTCGCCCGTGTTTCATCGCAAATCACAAATTCTCATACAAAGATAAATCGAAATTGAGCCGCGAGCGTAACAGTTTACCTCTTCCTTTCGACACCCCTATTTACACGCTCGAAGCTAGAGATATATACGATTATTTGAATCGTTTTTAAATTTGTACATAGGTTTCTTAATCGCATCAGGGCTAGGATAAAGGGCTAGGGGGGTTTGTGCGTGATTTCTTAGTGTCTAGGTGTAGTGCCTAAAATGTTAACGAGATTGTGTCCAATAGTAAATTTTATTTAGCGTGGAATCTCTAAACGATCGATACGGCGTCCTCAAACGGAGCAGAGGCATCGTCTCGCATAAAATTGGTCAACAAAGAACATATTTTTGTAAGTTGATGCTTCGTTCCTTTTGAGAATGCTGGAAATTACGAATGGGGATGTTGAAGACAGCTGTTCGCGTTAAAATGAGATAGGACAAAGAACACGAGAGGAAAAAGGAATCAAAGGGACATCCACGGATAGGATTACGTTTCTTCGTGGATTTAGGATTTAATGTTCATCGCGTTGTATGAATAGTTCATATGAAATTATATTATATATATATTATATATATATACATTATATCATTGTAACAAACAAAGTAACTGACTTTTTTGCGAGGAAATAGCGGTAGTTATAATAAATATATATATATACATATATATATATATATATATAGGAGAGAACATATTTTTGGAGTTACTACTAGAGGATTGATATCGTAATTGTGCTTTGTAAGTTCTTAAAAAAGAAACGTCTTCTTACGTTATTGGTATTGAAATCGTCGAGGAGGATTGTTCGCGATCGGACCGCATTTACATCGATTTGTTCAAAAGAATTATTTTTTAGAACTTTGCTCACACAATCCATTCACACTGCAAACTTCAACGAATTCGTTTAACACTTTCGAGGGTTATAACCCTCGCTGTAACTTGTGATTACACAGTTGGAAAGTGTCAAGCGTGATTCAGTCATCGAATGACGACGCTGACCCAAGGAAGTACGTCGAGTAATTTCCAAACGATTGAAATTTCCAAATTTCCATCACTGGAAAAATGTCTAAAGAAATAGTGCAAAATTCAGATAACGAGACTGAGAATTTTTTTTCCTTTCAGTTCGTATTAAATTTGGGTCATTTTCGCCATTCGTGGATCGACACTTTGACGATCGTTAGTTTTACGAAATCTGTCGTTCGTGGAATGACTTTAATATCTAAATGGAGCCTACTCGCTAATATTAGAAGGTTCCAATATACACTGTAAAATGACTAATTTTTAAATCGCAATCGACAATTGCTACAGTACGTAGAAATAGACTTAAAGTTCATCGTCAAAGTGTCGAAAGAAACAGATCTGTTTTTACGAGAATCATTCGTTCTTTTTTCGTCGCTACGAGTAAATGATGTCCGATTAAGCAAAGTAGAAGCGTAACAAAGAAAAAACTAGGAAAAAAGAAAGAAAAATTAGGCTAGAATCGACGATTCACCTATCTGACTGTTCTTCGATGTTCTTAAATGTTCACTATTATACTATGGTAATATGTCGCAGAATAATATTAACGGTAGTACTTGTATTATAAAAAAGTTTGTCGATCTTTAATGCATAATGCTAATCTTAAGGATTTAATTGTAGCTTCGAAAGAGGACAACCAACTCGTGTAAAATGTTAAAAAAATTAACACACAAACACATCACTGCTTAGACGTTGTTATTATAGTTATCGTTAACGATATTTCTCGTCTTTATTGGGTGAAGGAATTTTTTAGATCGATAATTAATCACGGCTTTGGCGTTAGCTGAATAATAGTCTTCGCTGTCGATGAAAGTAGGAAATTTCGTGTTTCGATGTTCGTACGATTTATCAAATATTTTTTTCTGATTCTTTGTGTTTCTTCGCTTAGGGACTCGATCGATCCTTTCGTAGAAACTTTCGAAGTAGGACAAGTTTTTCTACCAGGTCTCTTCGTCTTCGAAACGTTTAGGGAGTTTTAAATACCGTTCGCTGAAATCGTATTAATATCAACATTAAAGATACAGTTTCTTTATGTTGCCACTCGTGTGGCAATGGTTCCAAGATCTGCACCACAATTATCAAAGGTGGCAACATAACGAAAGTTTACTCTATTAATATTAATATTGTTGCGCCGAGGTGTTCCCTCTCGAGTTGCCATAATCGATTGTAATACACAAATTTAAAGCAACGAGAACGATTTATTGAAATATACAAAGTATTCACACGTCTGAATCTTTCGAGGTCTGGCGCGGTTCTGATATTCAAACACCGCGGTTGCTCCCAGCTACCGGAAGTTCTGGCCACTCGATCCGCTCGTCCTGACGACTTCCACGGACCTCTTCAATTCGTAGCCAGGACTAGCTTCACTTCTTCAATCGCGAAGCTGGCTTCACGTCGCAACAATATTAATATTCACTTCCAAGCACCACAGTTTCGACAACATTTTAAAGTAATCTTTTTTCTCAGACAATTCTCAAAACTATCAAATTATTATTTCCCTCGGAAGTGATTTGCAGCGAACGCGTTGAAAATACAGAGAAAATATAAGACAAGTAGAGAAAACAGGTCTATTTAAAACTGTTCTAGTAATATAGAGTTTTCTACGATCGTATGGATAAGCCGGAAACTTGCTGTCGCAGATTCAAGTCTATTCACTATAATGGCTAGTACTGTACATTTATATACCGTATGTTGAATGTTCGTCTTTTGTGTATTTTAATTGTACTATGATAGTGGTAGCGTCATTTATACTATTATTAATAATCGTTAACCATCGTGATTAACACGAAACACTGATTTATTAACGGAGACGTTTTCAACCCCCTTGCTGCGTCATTCAGAACTTATTGTACAGAAAAATGACTTTATTATGTGATATCGTAAATTTCTTTCGTCTGATATAATTTGGGAAGCTTCAATGAACTCGAGGTTATGCGTGACGCGGCAGGGGGTTGACACTTTGATGGTCCACGTACTGATTCTTTACTCACAATGTAAGACTTTGAGAAATAGTTCGCTGTGAATAACGTAGCTCTGTGAAATATAAATTTATCAATAGTCATTTTAGACAGAATATGAAATTATGAAATATGACCGTCAAAGTGTGTTTTCTTTTCT